CATTTTAGATGTTAATCATTTGGAACCGAAGTGTTTGTACATTTTGAATAATCCTAAGCATAATTAAAACTTTTCTCAATAATTTGCTGTCATCATTGTGAGTATCAGACTAGTACCTTTTTATACTGTAATTATGTCTTCTATCTCTTCTCATCCAATTTGTTTAGCTTTAGAAAAACCAAATAAATGATATTAGTCATAGGAGCTAATAGCCAGTATTGAACACTACACACTGAGTACTATGCAATTGCTTTACATGTTTTGTTTTCAGTTTAATTTTCTAGATAGTTCAATGAGGTCTAAGCACTATTACACCAATTTTACAAATAAGGAAACTGAGGCATAGCAATACTTAATCACTTGGTCAAGGTCATGGACCTAAAAAGTGGTAGAATTGGAATTTGAAGTCAGGCAGGTAGGCTACAATCAAATATTCTTAACAACTTACTGATAATGCCTCTTGCTTATCAAACTTTCAAACTGAGCTGAGAAAGAAGCAGAATGTCACATAAGTTAGTTCACAGACTCTGATTATCATTTTAAGCTATTCAGAGGCCTTTGTTGATTAATACTACAGTGTTTCAGGTATATTCTGTTAAAGTGTTAATGTCAAATGTCTGCATTCTTTAGGTAAGAAGCTACTTTTGTTTGAAATATGATTTATTTCAGTTGTATTTTGTTTATCCCCTATAAGTCTAAAGGGTTTGAACTAAATACAGTGATTATAATAGCCCTCTTAAATCTGTGGGACATGGGATTGATTCAGAATCAATGCAAACATGAGAATATATCATTTTCTGGGTAGAGTGTCCAGAACTTGTAATAGGATTTTCAGAGGGGTCCATGACTCATAAAAGGCCAAACACCTGAATTACCTTATTCTTACTCTTCTTTTGTTTAGAGAGAGCTAGCCTTAAATTTTTTAGTCATTAGTTTTTAGGAACCATTTCATGTGTTTATCGTCATCAGCCATTTGAAACTTCTTCAAAAGCAGAACAAAAACAATGGTGTGTACTTAGTGAGTGATGAAATATACACAAGGAGCTGAGACTTAGATTTCTTGTCATTGACTGGCTCTTCTCTCTAGTTGAAAATCAGAGAAATGAACTAGTTCATCTACAAGGTCCTTCCCACTCCACATGTCAAATTCAAATATATCTGTTTCAGATACTGGTTATTAAATAGTTTAGAAAAATATATAGTTTACAGTATCTTTAAAGTGACTGTACTAATAAGCTTTTTTTTAGTTGCATGTGTTAAATTTTTTTTTTATTCTTCAATAGGGAAGTTTGGTTGGTTTAGTAGATTATCCAGATGATGAGGAAGATGATGATGAAGAAGAAACGTCTCCTAGGAAAAGACCTCGTCTTGGCTCATAAAATATTACTAACCCTCAACATGTGGTCTTACTAAAATGCTGCATCTGTTCAATGAGCTGAAAATCTGAATCAGAAAGCTTTCTCACTTGAACTTATAAATATACAAGGAGTAGCAAAAGACACAGTATATCAGCTAGGAGAGTTTAATTATGTAAAAAAAAAACAAAAAAAAAAAACCAGGCTTCCCAGGAATGTGATTGATTGCTAGTAATTAAGGGGTTTTACTTTCAGGCATAATATTTCAAAAAATGGTTAGCAACCAGAGTCTGGGAGATAGTGTCTCATCCAGGAAACTCAGATTTTGACAAGGTCTAGGGAGGGACAAGTTTGATAAAATATTAATGCAGCATTGCTCCAGGAGTTACCTGATCTAGAAACAATTATAAACTTCAGTTGCAAACCCAATAACATTACTTGTATAATGGTGCTGGCCGTGTTGTTCTTTTAATCAGTTGCCTCTTTTTAGAAGAAATTTCTATGGAAAACAAATTCAACTGTCATAAAAAATGAAGTTGTTGGGACCATTCTTTGAAGATTTAATAGAAAATTCAGCCTTATAGGTAATTGGAGGAAAGTACACCGTATATTACAGGCACATGTTGAGTTTTCTGCACCAGGATTTTCAGTTATGTACTTTGGTAAATAAAAACAAGTTGGATTCAGAATGGACAGTTTTGTTAATATAAATCAGCACTTTTAGAGATAACATGCTAAGAATCAGTATGGTAGTCCAAAATGATTTCCTCTAGAAATGGGAGTGGATTAACAGTGTTTTCAACTGCCTACCAGTACAATCTTGTGGAAGATATTTTGAAGTCATTTTCTGCTTTGTTGGTGAAGTTGTCTCTCTTTCCGGAACTACAGGCAAGTTTAAAAGTGTAATTTATAAAGACTACAGAGCAGTGCTGAATTAAGTGGCATTTAATACCTAGAGGCCAGTTTGACTCAAGAAGTTACTTCAGTGTCAAAGTCAATATGCAGCACACAAAGCTTTTCCATAAACAAGGGTGTAATATGAAAGCTGCTTTTTTTTTTTAGAGTAAAAGCACATTCCATGTACGTAAATGAGTTTAAAATAATAAATTGAGGCAAACAGTTAAGAGGTTTTATTTTTAGACCAAGTTAACTGTAAATATTTTAATGTTAGTTTGCTCATCTATGATCTGAGATCATGCTGAAGTGCGAAAAATGTCCCCCAAACAACAATTTAACATATTGGGGAAAAAAACTAAAAAATTCCAGCTACAATCTTCAGATCACCCTTGTAATGTTGTTATGGGTCCATTTTTCCTGGAATAGCTTAAACTGAAGCAGTTTCCCCTGTTTTGGAGATTTTTGTAGTTAATTTTAATTTTGGCTATTGTTTGGAAAAAATGGGCTGTTTGTGTAGATATGAAGTATAGTTTTTCCATAAAACAGATGTTTATTTTGTATTAAAAATACCACTGTACTTGTTTTACACCATTTGTATACATGTGGTGATATTAATGCTGAACTGTAAAATTCAGGAATTAAAATGTGACCCTGTAATTCTATGATTGTTGCTTTTGTTTGGTTTGTTGTAAATATAAATGAACTCCATTTTGAGATATATCCTTTTTACAGTATCTTTCAAAAACCAATAAATTATCCATAGATACTTATTATAAGCCACTACATCATACATCAATCTGAATGATTAAACAATCTGAATGAATTAAACAAATGAGGGTCAACTGCACTTTAAATATCACTGACTCTACTTGTAAGTTGTGCCTTGGGCAAATAAAAGTCCAGACCCAAAGCATCACAGTATGGGGCTATTCCCACCTTCGATTAAAGGTTCATATAAAAGGTTCATGAAAAAGACTTTCCACCTCATAAAACAAGTGACTCAGGATACTTTTAAACCAAGATCAGTTAGGTTACCATATGAAGACATTTTCTTTCAAGCAGGTTTTATCAAGACCCTTCACTCTTCTTAGCTCTTATTAAATTTCCTCTTGGGATCTAAGAAGCCCAGGCCTAAAGCATTTCCCTACTTACTCTTGACTCTTGTTGATCAGGTAATTTTATTTAAGTTCCAGGAGAAGTTTTATCTTTATCTCTTACTAAGTGTTTCTTTAATTTTCCTTTCTGAAGAACTGCCATGAGTCTTAAACATTTAAATCATCATCATAGGAACCTTATAGCAGACATGTGAATGTTTCGTTGAGTTACAGGATAACAGTGTTCATGGCATATGTTCACCAACAATGATATATATAAATAAGAACAAGACTTAAAATATCCCTTGAAAGAATAACATTAAGATTCCACATTTGCTATCCTAAATGACTACCCTCAGGCAGATCAGAATTTTTGTATCTTTATCTTCACTCTGTGAAGCAAGCCAGCATCCATATTTGTACGCCTGAGGTTCTCTTGAAATTATATCTGTAAACATGTATCCAATAAACTATTTTTAATAAAATGTTACATAAAACATTTCTGTGTTTTAATCAGCAGTTTTTCCTTTTTAAAAATGATGAAAACATAGCAAATGTAATGATGGTTTTCTCTGCAGGTTGAAGGTTGGAGCTAGTTTTGGTACACCTTAAAATTTATAACTAGATTTAAAGAGAGAAAATGGAATTACATGTTAAACCTCAGAAGAGGTCCAAAGCTGGAAAAGGGGGTTCTTGTGGAGTGACACAAACAGGAAGTTTCTGACAGAAAGGTCTCTGTCATACTATTCTGGTTCTCTCAGCAAACACTACAGAAAACTATCCAGGATCATTTCACATGCAAGACCCACACCATGGCAGCATTCCTCTCAAGAGGCTCAGGAGTATTACCTTTGTTTTAATGGTAGCTTTTCTAAAAAAGAGATGGACTATTTTTAACATCCCCCATATCTATTTCCCAAGTCCTGATTGTTCCTGCCTCAAATGTAAGATGCTAAAACCTTACCACTGCCCAAGATAACTACTCTTGACTGGACTACCTTATAACTGGTATACCCTCAACTACTCTGACACCCAATCACCACCACAGAGCAGCCACACATCTTTTTTTAAATGAACATTTTGATCATGTAGTTTTGCTTTAAAACTTTACAGTGACTTCCCACTGCCATTATAAAATTTTAAATCCTCACATTTCCCTACAAGGCCCTACAAATCAGTACCCCACCTATCTCTGATTTTGTATGCTAACCCTCTCCCATCATTCTACACAGATTCTAGCCATACTGACAGCTTCTCTGTGTTTATTCTTTCTTGCTAAAGAACCTGAGTTGTTCCCTCCCTTTTCTCCCTGCAATTAGCCTTCAGTCACCTTAAACATTGCTCTCTCAAGGAGGCTCGACCAGCACTACTTGTAACACTGCACTGTTCCCTTTTAACACTTTGCTCTTCAGGCCTTCTTAGCCCCAGGAAGGCAGGGACTGTATCGACCTAGCTGACTACTATATCCTTAGCACTTGGCACAGTGCTTAGCACAAACAATAGATGACCAAGTTGGAATGTACTATCAATTGGATTTCTATACTTTTTTCCCTTAGCATAAGCAGCTGCTTTTCCCACTGCCCTTTCCCTCAAATATTCAACAAAATAGTATCAGCTTCTCTTGCATTTACAATCACATTTAAAACAGGTTCAATTTAAGGATTAAATTATTTATTAAGAAAACTTTAACTTATGTTTTGCTAAATTGTTTTTAAATTACTTGTTAATAACTTCTTCTTTAAGTTTCTCTGCAAGCAATCTCCTCTTTAGTAATGTTTGCTTCTCCTCTGCTGTCATTTCTTGTTTTTCTGTCATTTCCTTAAAAAAAAAAAAAATTGGCTACCATGAAAATGTGTTCATTTGTTTAAAATTCCCAACATACTGCCTTAAAAATTAGAACCTTTTCAGTAAATAAGCCTAAAAAAAAAAAGTCATACACGGACTGGGTTCCCTAAATCTCCTCTTTGCAAAATTTTCTTTAGAAAGCCTCCTGAAAGTGGTGGCTAGCATATTGATGCTGCTCTATGATAAAATATTTCACGTGGCTCAGGTAAAATAGACTGTTAACCCTTAAGCACTCAGAGCAGGGCAACTAAGGAAATTTAAAATGTATAATGAAACTTACCATTTCTGCCTCACAAAATCCTCTTATCACAACCATCTGCCTAAAAAAGACTTAGCTGGTGCTACACTGAGACAGGGAAGGTAAAGTGAATGGATCTACAAGCAACATTCATTATTGAGGCTTTCTTGCACATGTCATGATTTTGAGAATTCCACCTCTGGATTTGCAGACTTCGACATACAGAAGCCATACCTCTGCTTCCCCAGCAGGTTTCCCTTTCTGCTCCGAATGTTGTATCTGCTTATTCCTCATATCCTTTCTCATGGACATCAACTTATCTCTCTTTTGCTTGAGATAGCATTCTCTTTGCCGGAGCTCTTCCATTCCAAGTGTTGATAAATTCTGGGTCAAAAAAAGAAAGAATTATTAAATTTAAGTCTGCATTTTCTGGCACAGACACCAACCGATTCAATTAGAAATGTAAGTTCAAGATCATAACAAAGCCAAATGTATGGCTTTTACATTGTTCCTAGTACTTTTCGTTTTGTTCATAGTTCTTAAGAACTAATGTTTTTTACTTACTGCTATTGGTCCTTCAATGCTTGCATGTTCTAGACCAGGCATCTTCAGGCCTTTTTGTGGGAAAGAGGAAGTTTCAGGCATCATTTCCAGCTTTCTTGCCAAAGGTTGTACTGACTGATTAGCAAAATGCACTTTAACTTCTAGCAATGATTAGATAGAGAATAATTAGAATAGTGTAAGACTTATTAAGTACTAAGCTAGGTTCAGCAAAATGAACAGTGTTAATACGTCTTTTTTTCTAACATTCATTCAATTCACACACATTGTTGCAGTGCCTGCATTACGTCAGGCACTGGGTGAGAACAATAAACAAGGTCTCTGTCTTCAAGGACTCTGAACTACAGTTTCTTATGAATAATCATGACATTTCAACAAATACCAAGCTCCTGCAGTTTACTACTATAGCTACAAAAAGATATAATTCTTGTTTCAAGATTAGAACCTCACTATAATAAGTTATCACATAAGACAAACATACAAAAACCCTTTACTAGTAATGTAACTGGTATCCCAACTATTGCTTGCAGGTAAAAACTGTAAATGACCCTATATTTTAAGAACAGTAAGTGTGAAGCTACAATTATTTGTATTGGAAGAGTAAATGCCAGCAGTATCAATAATTTTTGTTTGTAATACATATTGAGGATAACTATAAACCTACTAACACAGTAAGAAATACAAAGATTTTAAAGTAAGTAGAACTTAGAAGCAGATAAAACATGAGTATTCGGTATTTTCCAGTTATTGGTGACTGTGCCAAGAGGATTAACATGCTAACTGCTTTTCTAAGCCATTTTTTATTATAAGGTGATTATTTTAAATAAAAAATGTTCAGTGTAAGTACAGGGACTATGAAAGGCAGCAGAATAAGATAAGCGAAGACTCATAAAAATTATACCAAGAATTAAAAGCATGATGGGAGAACATAATATACAAGTCTTCAAATAACTAAAAATTTTGCAAGCATAGTGAAACTAAAAATAGAGCTTTGCATGAGCAAGAAACTTGCCAAAGGACCACTGCTTTAGCATGGGGTGAGTGCACTGACTGCAGTGCCAGGGGAGGTTGAAGCAGAGAAGCTCTTCAGGCTGTAGGAGTGGGACAGTAAGGGAAGTCACCATGGAAGAGATGAGGGTGGAGCTAACTAACCAATATCAACAGGAAGCTAAATAACTAACTTAAACAGAAATAAAGATGTGTTTAAACAGGTTGGTCATAATATGCAGAGTTAAACATGCTGTTCTTACTAATGACGACTTAATTTAAGCAGTGGTAGGCTTAGCCCTCAAACAGGGAACCACAGAGCTGAAGAAGGGAGAGTTCATTCCTAAGGGAGCATCCCAAGCACGAGCATTTATATTCAATTCAGGTACTTGCTCTGGGAAGTGCTTGCCTTGAATTTGTTATGAACATCTTCTATATACTCACTCAGACCTACAAAGGAAAGTACTTGAAGCCAAAATACTTGAGCTTCTCTGATTTCTAGGAATGGAGAATCAGAAAACCAGCAAGCTTAAAGATCATCTCATCTCTGGCAATTCTTTGCATTAATCTGAGAACAGATGCCATCCATTTCTAGCAGAAACCAGGAAAGATATGAGCAAATGAATAAAAAGGTCAAACACCTTTAAGACTCTTCCCAAATTAGGTCTTCATAATGGGCTCCCATCACTTTGTATGAAGTGATTCCCTGGAATATCAGATATACGCATTTTTTTTTTACTGAATAGTTTTTAAAAATTAAAATCATTACTTTTGTAATTATCTGCCATTGTTCTGGCCACTAATGTGCATAACTGAGTTACATATGGCTTGAAATTGTTTTCTATAGCTTTGCTAAAAGAACTGAACAATCAAATTTATTCCAATTATGTCAGATACAAGATTTAAACAGCATGTATAGTTGTATGAAAAAGTTAAATATAAAAGTTCTTCTAAAGTGTAGGAGAACCCAATATTTGGAGTCAGAAGACCAAGGTAGATCCCAGTTTCACAATTTAAGAGCAGAATGATGTTGGAGAAGTCACTGAACTTCCTTGAATTTCTTGTAAAAAAAAAAAAAGCTAACTGAAAAGTAAGGATCATAAACATACCTCACTGAGTTGTTTCTTTTAATTAAGAAAAGCACACATTGAAAACCATAGAAATCCATGATAAAATGAACTGAATTCATGATCATGATCCAATTTGTGTTTCAGAATTACTCATTTTCCTTTAAAGGAAATCAAAATATACTCAAAGTAGATTTGCCACATATTGAACCACTTCATCCACTACCATTTGTCCCACAAGGATTCTCAGAAATGATAGCTTCTGATTGAACATATAGATAGACTGGCTACTTATTTTCTAGTCGTGCTTTAATTCATTAGGAAAATAACTTAATATTATCCTTCCAAGTGCCACTACTAACTCACCAACACCATATAATTTTGGTCAAGGAAAAGAATACCTAATGTTACGTAAACATCTTGGATGGTGTATCCATGGCACAAAGGCTGGTGGCTTGCTCAAGGAATTTTGTTCACTGTCCTGGGTTCCAGCCTTCACTTAGAAATTTGGGGGCTACACCTCTTTGTCAGCTGAGTATCCCCTACCTGCAACCTCTTTAGCTAAATTCACAAAGAACTTTTACTACCAATGGCTATATAATACTCCATCCCAGAGTTTTTGAAGGTTGAGCATGGTATGAAAAAGTAACACACACTTCACAGTGTTTACGTAGTCATATTATTAGAGAAAGTTCCGTTCACTTCAACCTTACCTGAGGGTGGGTGTGCAGTGTGTTCACCATCCCCTTGGGAATTATTCATTTTTGCATCTTCATTAACATGCGTTGGGGACTCTACTGTTTTAGCCTCTGATAACTTCAGAAATCCATAATACAATTTTAAAATTTTAGATTAAATTTTACTAATTCACCACTTAAGGGATCCAAAGATGTTAGTTTAAAAAATCACTGTCTACTAAATAAATAATGAACATGAGACCGTTTTTCCAAAGTTTTTAAGATGTTTCCAGCATTAGATATCTCCTATTTCTTGAGGTATGTAAACATTCTCATTTCAAATCATACAGTACTAAGAGTAACTAACTAGTATGGTATGGACTTTGGACTAAACAAGAAGTGTGTTCAAACCCAGGCTTCACTCTCACCACTCCTGTGATCTTGAGGAAGACACCAAGAAGTACTCTAAGATAAAACCCCTGAATGATAAGGTGCTTTTCCACTTAAAATAATCTATATGCCTAAGGAAGCCACAGTTGGTTTATTTCCATTTTTAAAATGGAACAGCATTATTTAAAACAAAGAAATTTAAATCTTAGAACTAAGTAAACTGATAATTCATGTTCCCTTAAAGACAGGAAAATCTTTAATATTCTTTTATTCATAAAGTTATGGGGAATTTCTATAAAGAATCCTCCAAAATATGAGTGACATTATAGTTTTTTTGGAGTTAATAATCAGTCATTATTGGGAACTTAAAAAGTAGGTTGCTAGATGAATTATAAAGATTATAAAGTTAAATATAAATACTTAGAATTGCCAAGAAAATATCAATACTCTAAGGAACTGTGTAGTTCCACATAAGCTTAAACTTTAACAACAAAAACTAAGTGTAAACAAGAGAAAAGGCAATGAAATACTTCTGTTATATTAATATGTTCTATAGGCACCTGCTTTTTTCTCTTCCTTTCTTCCTCCTGGTCATATTCCTCTTTGGATTTTCTGAAATAAACAAAAATAAGGTACAAAAGTAAATTTTCTTTTTCGGTCAAAGAACAAATAATCAACAAGCAACATGCCAACTTATGCAATATGTGCGAGGAATTTTGGAAACAAAGATGGAAATAATCAGGCTTTGTTTAAAGCAGATTACAATCAACTGAGAAAGACATGCATATACAGCATAATATAATTAGTAACATAAAATACAGGTTTGCCTATTTCTGCTGCAAATGTGAAAAACCCTACCTGAACAAAGAGCAAAAGGTGTGATATCCTAAACCCAAATTTGAATGGCAAATTCTGTTATTATAGACTTTGAACTCTCTCTTTAGGAAGATCAGCTATACCCCCTCCTGATAAGATCCATTTCTCCCCTCATTCTAGTTTTTCCAGTTGTGGTTGAGCTATCACAAAGCTCTCCTGATTGCCATTATGCCAAAGCCCTGTTGGCTTTTGTAAAATGCTCACGGAGGTAATCTGATTTAGAAAAATAGCCAAGTCAACTCTCATACATGTTCATAACTAAGCTCTATTACTTACACAGTAATACATTCCCCTCAAAAGCCTTTAAAAAATAAAATGTAAAAGTGTAATACTGATCAGTTCTCAGACCACCAATGAATCAACAGAAGGAAGAAGTCTTAACTTTACTAGTCCTCTGCATCTATTACCAATATCCTTAACTATCCATAAACTCAAAGCTTTCTGTGTTGTCTCAGGACCCAATTTGACCCTGCCATGGAAAGTAGGATCTGGCAGGCAAATGCCAGGCTTACCTGCACACCTGCCTCCCTTCCAGAGCCAGTCAAATCTCCTGATATTAGGCACTAAGTCCTGGAGTTCCTTCCACAGCTCTCCACTAGGCCCATGCTCCAAACCACCATCCTGCCTATTCTTCCTTTTAGAGCTTTGGAGCTGGGGACAAGGTGGGTAGGTGCAGAGACTACAAGATGCTAAAAGATCATCATGAGTGTGTTACAGCTAGAAGGGACAGGCTCCCAAAGGCCAAGACCCCACTCTGCAGGTGACACAATACCTGCAGGTACTCTTTTGCCCTAAACCTATACATTCACAAAGAAGATTTAAAAATTAGATGCTGCAATTGTTCCTCCTTTCCAAAACTCCCACAGGGTCAGGGATGACAGGCTCAAGTCAAAAAGAAATACCCCATTAGTGGGCTGCACATTCCATGCCAGACATTTGTTTGAGAGTTATGTAAATGGGGCAAGGAAGAAACCAGCAAGACAGTCACTTGGGAAATGTACTTCCCACTGTCCTCTTTCCCTCACAGGTTACCTGCCACCCAGTCAGCTATCCAGTCTGTGGGATCTGGATGTCCAGCCTCCTGCTATGAGACACCTGGCATGAGGCACCTCTAATACCAAGATCCAGAAGCCAAGGAGTTTCCTGCTCAGCTCAGGCCACCACACCCCTTTTCCAGGCATCAGGCATAATCTACTGCAGCATGTTCCCACTGATGGCTAGTTTCCTATTCCCATGATAAGAATGGAAGAATACCTTCCCATTTGGGCTCATCTGGCATGCATCATTGGAAAATAATTTTTCTTCCCATTAAGATATGTAATACATAATTATAAACAATTTGCATGGTCTTCATTACAGAATTTAGATATTTCACCAGGTCGTAATATTTTGAGGGTAAAAAGCATGTACGCAGATCATCTTATTACTAATGATTCATTCAAAACATAATTAAAGAAGGATACCTAAGAACTTCCCTCAGGATCTTCATCTCTTCCTGTTCAAGGTCACTGACCACATCAGAACCATCTGTTAAGCAGTCAGGTAACACACCTGTTCGAAACCAAAGGCCAAAGAGACTATCAACTGAACCAAAGACATTTATTTCTCACCGTTCTAGGTCAAACAGCACAGATTAGCTTATTAAGATCTATTACTTTCAAAAATGTTCTAAGCTATTGTCTTTTTTAACTATGGTCTTTTTAACTTTTTCTTGTTTTAGGTAATAAATAGCCCCACCAAAAAACCCCCACAATTTTATCTAGAAATGTCTTAGTAATTATTTACATTGCCTATTAAAAATAATAACAATAAATAGCAATAAAATGAATTAGTATAGAAATTATCTTCCAAAATCATATACTGTCTAAGGATAAACTATTGAAATCATTAAGGTCCTAATAATTGAACTATGCTCTCAAAGTATCCTTTTAATGGGAAAAGAGTTTACAAAAAATACACTGGTTAATTGAAACAGCATGTTAATACTCTTCATTCATACTACAATAAATGCTACTGAAAAGGGCCCTGCTTACTATATGCAAAAAAGTATGGTGCTAAGCACTTAGGGGGACTATAAAGATGAATCTCTGCCCTCCGAGCTTCTATTCAGATATTGGACTACTAATCATAAACTACAGCAGTGCCAACTTTGGCCCAAGGCAAATAATAATAATTCATGGCAAGTAGTTATAGGTAGTGGTTGAATTTTCTTTATTACCTACATCTTCCTGATAAGGAGGCAGATGCAGATTGGTAATACATGTTCTGTTGGTATCTATAATTATCATATTCCCACGACATTAGCAGCATGTCTCAATTTTTACCTTCCATTTCTTTATGCAATATGACAATGGGATTCTGGGTCTGCTCTAAATTAAAGTAGCTTTATTACTCTAATCCCCTTGATGTTTAAATGAATTTTCAAGTTACACTTTTTATTTTGAGATAATTTCAGATTCACATGTAGTTGTAAGAAATAGTAAAGAGAGATGCTATGCACTCTACCCAGTTTCCCCCAGTGGTAACACTTTGCGACCAGAAAATTGGTATCTATACAATCCATCAAACTTAAGTGCATTTTTGCTCAGTCAAAAGATATACAATTAGTCTCCTAATAATCTTTCTAAGAAACATTTTAAAACCAAGGAAAAAATAATGGAAAAGTAGGAAATACTTTAAAACCATCAAAATAATACTCTCATTTGCATTTCCCTCAAATTCTTTGATAAGATACAATCAAGAATCAAGAAAGCCTTTGAATTTTTCTCACCACAAAGACAATTTTCAAATGGTCAGTTTTTGGTACAATCAACATGACTCTTAAGTTCTTATCCCTGGTTCTCAGTGAAGCAACTTAAAACAAGTATTAAAATTTTTGTAGCAGAAACTAAGTAGTTTATATTTAAATGTAAGCAAATTGTCCCATCCTGTGGTTTAACAGCAGCATTTGTCCACATCATTCCCCTCCTCCTGCCTTGCTAATACAAGCTAGGTTTGTGGAGTTACTAGGCAGCCCAGTACTTACAGGCAAGACCCTACCCCCAATCCCAAGGAAAATGATTTATAATTTAAGCCAATCACAATGTTCTCACTCCCCTTCCAGAGTGTTTAAGAAAGGCAAGTGACCCCAATCCTGATCAACAGGACATGAGGCAGGGAAAATTCCTGGAGGGCTTTCTTGTCCTGCTAACAAGAAAAAACATCCCTTTTCTTCATGAGACATTTTTGAGTCTGCATTTGATGCAGCTGGAGTACAACCATGAGAGAAGATCCTGAGAATGACAGGACATAAAGATGAAAAGTGTCAGGGTCCTTGATAACATTACTTTGTCTTTAAATTAACCAACTCTGGACTTGTCTCTCTTCCCTCCCTCTGGACTTCTCTTTCTGTAAGATGATCATTTCTTATTGGTTAGGTCATTTTCACTGAGTTTTTCTGCTAATGGTAGCCTGAGGCATCCAGCCAATACAAGCTACAGGTTACCAGAGCCAGAAATCTGAAACAAAATTAAGAGTCTAGGTTGAAAAGAAGATAGTAAAATAAACAAGAAGTATAGTGAGAAACTCAGGTGTTTTAGGTCAAGCTGTCAGATGTAGTTCAAATACACAAGAAGGGAACAAAAGCAGGAATAGCTAGGGAGAAACAGAGATTAGGCACAGAGTCAGGGAGAAGCTAAAGCCAAAGAGGGTTACTAGGGCTTTGAGTTCTTTTATTTTCAGCTGATGGTGGTACAAATCATATCTGCCCACAGTCCTAGAATAGGAGTTCTCAATTCAGTCCCAGGACCAGCCACTTTAGCATCACATGGGAAATTGTTAAAAATGCAAACTATTAGGCCCCACCCCAGACCTACTGAATCAGAAACTATGTATGTTTCAACAAGCCCTCCAAGTGCTTCCTACACTCACTAAAGCTTGAGACCACTGTCTCCTACAAAGGTCCTAACAATGATATGCCCGAAGGAAAAGAGCACTCACCTTCTCTCAACAGTAACTATAACTGTGACCACTCAAAATTACTGAATTTCATAAACACAATGGCCAGGAAAAAAGACTGAGCTCTCTGCAACCTAAAACATCATTAAATCAAATTCTGGTCTGATTTCTTTTAGATGTCAAACACTAAGGAAGTTCACACTCTTAAATCTCTTAAGTCAGCCACAGACTTTCAAACTTGAAATAGATTTATACAAGACAGCTACATTTAAGACTGTAACAGAATCAGAAGTCAAAACTGCAAAAAAAAATGCATTTATCATTTATATTTCTAAAATCAAAAATTTACCATTTCTCTCTTGAATTACTTGAATGGCTTGCAGCTGCATTTCAATATTTTTTTGAACCATCATTGCTTTAAAGATAGTAAAATCTGCTGCTGCCAACACAGGTTGCAAAATAGCCTGTGAAAAGAAATCCGGAAGTTAAATGAAGACTCAAGTTTTAAAATTATTTCCCACACACCCAAATCATTTTTACTACAAAAAAATAAAATGCATTAATTCAAGAATACTTCATGACTTTTTTATGATTACCTAATGTTACGTAAACATCTTGGATGGTGTATCCATGGCACAAAGGCTGGTGGCTTGCTCAAGGAATTTTGTTCACTGTCCTGGGTTCCAGCCTTCACTTAGAAATTTGGGGGCTACACCTCTTTGTCAGCTGAGTATCCCCTACCTGCAACCTCTTTAGCTAAATTCACAAAGAACTTTTACTACCAATGGCTATATAATACTCCATCCCAGAGTTTTTGAAGGTTGAGCATGGTATGAAAAAGTAACACACACTTCACAGTGTTTACGTAGTCATATTATTAGAGAAAGTTCCGTTCACTTCAACCTTACCTGAGGGTGGGTGTGCAGTGTGTTCACCATCCCCTTGGGAATTATTCATTTTTGCATCTTCATTAACATGCGTTGGGGACTCTACTGTTTTAGCCTCTGATAACTTCAGAAATCCATAATACAATTTTAAAATTTTAGATTAAATTTTACTAATTCACCACTTAAGGGATCCAAAGATGTTAGTTTAAAAAATCACTGTCTACTAAATAAATAATGAACATGAGACCGTTTTTCCAAAGTTTTTAAGATGTTTCCAGCATTAGATATCTCCTATTTCTTGAGGTATGTAAACATTCTCATTTCAAATCATACAGTACTAAGAGTAACTAACTAGTATGGTATGGACTTTGGACTAAACAAGAAGTGTGTTCAAACCCAGGCTTCACTCTCACCACTCCTGTGATCTTGAGGAAGACACCAAGAAGTACTCTAAGATAAAACCCCTGAATGATAAGGTGCTTTTCCACTTAAAATAATCTATATGCCTAAGGAAGCCACAGTTGGTTTATTTCCATTTTTAAAATGGAACAGCATTATTTAAAACAAAGAAATTTAAATCTTAGAACTAAGTAAACTGATAATTCATGTTCCCTTAAAGACAGGAAAATCTTTAATATTCTTTTATTCATAAAGTTATGGGGAATTTCTATAAAGAATCCTCCAAAATATGAGTGACATTATAGTTTTTTTGGAGTTAATAATCAGTCATTATTGGGAACTTAAAAAGTAGGTTGCTAGATGAATTATAAAGATTATAAAGTTAAATATAAATACTTAGAATTGCCAAGAAAATATCAATACTCTAAGGAACTGTGTAGTTCCACATAAGCTTAAACTTTAACAACAAAAACTAAGTGTAAACAAGAGAAAAGGCAATGAAATACTTCTGTTATATTAATATGTTCTATAGGCACCTGCTTTTTTCTCTTCCTTTCTTCCTCCTGGTCATATTCCTCTTTGGATTTTCTGAAATAAACAAAAATAAGGTACAAAAGTAAATTTTCTTTTTCGGTCAAAGAACAAATAATCAACAAGCAACATGCCAACTTATGCAATATGTGCGAGGAATTTTGGAAACAAAGATGGAAATAATCAGGCTTTGTTTAAAGCAGATTACAATCAACTGAGAAAGACATGCATATACAGCATAATATAATTAGTAACATAAAATACAGGTTTGCCTATTTCTGCTGCAAATGTGAAAAACCCTACCTGAACAAAGAGCAAAAGGTGTGATATCCTAAACCCAAATTTGAATGGCAAATTCTGTTATTATAGACTTTGAACTCTCTCTTTAGGAAGATCAGCTATACCCCCTCCTGATAAGATCCATTTCTCCCCTCATTCTAGTTTTTCCAGTTGTGGTTGAGCTATCACAAAGCTCTCCTGATTGCCATTATGCCAAAGCCCTGTTGGCTTTTGTAAAATGCTCACGGAGGTAATCTGATTTAGAAAAATAGCCAAGTCAACTCTCATACATGTTCATAACTAAGCTCTATTACTTACACAGTAATACATTCCCCTCAAAAGCCTTTAAAAAATAAAATGTAAAAGTGTAATACTGATCAGTTCTCAGACCACCAATGAATCAACAGAAGGAAGAAGTCTTAACTTTACTAGTCCTCTGCATCTATTACCAATATCCTTAACTATCCATAAACTCAAAGCTTTCTGTGTTGTCTCAGGACCCAATTTGACCCTGCCATGGAAAGTAGGATCTGGCAGGCAAATGCCAGGCTTACCTGCACACCTGCCTCCCTTCCAGAGCCAGTCAAATCTCCTGATATTAGGCACTAAGTCCTGGAGTTCCTTCCACAGCTCTCCACTAGGCCCATGCTCCAAACCACCATCCTGCCTATTCTTCCTTTTAGAGCTTTGGAGCTGGGGACAAGGTGGGTAGGTGCAGAGACTACAAGATGCTAAAAGATCATCATGAGTGTGTTACAGCTAGAAGGGACAGGCTCCCAAAGGCCAAGACCCCACTCTGCAGGTGACACAATACCTGCAGGTACTCTTTTGCCCTAAACCTATACATTCACAAAGAAGATTTAAAAATTAGATGCTGCAATTGTTCCTCCTTTCCAAAACTCCCACAGGGTCAGGGATGACAGGCTCAAGTCAAAAAGAAATACCCCATTAGTGGGCTGCACATTCCATGCCAGACATTTGTTTGAGAGTTATGTAAATGGGGCAAGGAAGAAACCAGCAAGACAGTCACTTGGGAAATGTACTTCCCACTGTCCTCTTTCCCTCACAGGTTACCTGCCACCCAGTCAGCTATCCAGTCTGTGGGATCTGGATGTCCAGCCTCCTGCTATGAGACACCTGGCATGAGGCACCTCTAATACCAAGATCCAGAAGCCAAGGAGTTTCCTGCTCAGCTCAGGCCACCACACCCCTTTTCCAGGCATCAGGCATAATCTACTGCAGCATGTTCCCACTGATGGCTAGTTTCCTATTCCCATGATAAGAATGGAAGAATACCTTCCCATTTGGGCTCATCTGGCATGCATCATTGGAAAATAATTTTTCTTCCCATTAAGATATGTAATACATAATTATAAACAATTTGCATGGTCTTCATTACAGAATTTAGATATTTCACCAGGTCGTAATATTTTGAGGGTAAAAAGCATGTACGCAGATCATCTTATTACTAATGATTCATTCAAAACATAATTAAAGAAGGATACCTAAGAACTTCCCTCAGGATCTTCATCTCTTCCTGTTCAAGGTCACTGACCACATCAGAACCATCTGTTAAGCAGTCAGGTAACACACCTGTTCGAAACCAAAGGCCAAAGAGACTATCAACTGAACCAAAGACATTTATTTCTCACCGTTCTAGGTCAAACAGCACAGATTAGCTTATTAAGATCTATTACTTTCAAAAATGTTCTAAGCTATTGTCTTTTTTAACTATGGTCTTTTTAACTTTTTCTTGTTTTAGGTAATAAATAGCCCCACCAAAAAACCCCCACAATTTTATCTAGAAATGTCTTAGTAATTATTTACATTGCCTATTAAAAATAATAACAATAAATAGCAATAAAATGAATTAGTATAGAAATTATCTTCCAAAATCATATACTGTCTAAGGATAAACTATTGAAATCATTAAGGTCCTAATAATTGAACTATGCTCTCAAAGTATCCTTTTAATGGGAAAAGAGTTTACAAAAAATACACTGGTTAATTGAAACAGCATGTTAATACTCTTCATTCATACTACAATAAATGCTACTGAAAAGGGCCCTGCTTACTATATGCAAAAAAGTATGGTGCTAAGCACTTAGGGGGACTATAAAGATGAATCTCTGCCCTCCGAGCTTCTATTCAGATATTGGACTACTAATCATAAACTACAGCAGTGCCAACTTTGGCCCAAGGCAAATAATAATAATTCATGGCAAGTAGTTATAGGTAGTGGTTGAATTTTCTTTATTACCTACATCTTCCTGATAAGGAGGCAGATGCAGATTGGTAATACATGTTCTGTTGGTATCTATAATTATCATATTCCCACGACATTAGCAGCATGTCTCAATTTTTACCTTCCATTTCTTTATGCAATATGACAATGGGATTCTGGGTCTGCTCTAAATTAAAGTAGCTTTATTACTCTAATCCCCTTGATGTTTAAATGAATTTTCAAGTTACACTTTTTATTTTGAGATAATTTCAGATTCACATGTAGTTGTAAGAAATAGTAAAGAGAGATGCTATGCACTCTACCCAGTTTCCCCCAGTGGTAACACTTTGCGACCAGAAAATTGGTATCTATACAATCCATCAAACTTAAGTGCATTTTTGCTCAGTCAAAAGATATACAATTAGTCTCCTAATAATCTTTCTAAGAAACATTTTAAAACCAAGGAAAAAATAATGGAAAAGTAGGAAATACTTTAAAACCATCAAAATAATACTCTCATTTGCATTTCCCTCAAATTCTTTGATAAGATACAATCAAGAATCAAGAAAGCCTTTGAATTTTTCTCACCACAAAGACAATTTTCAAATGGTCAGTTTTTGGTACAATCAACATGACTCTTAAGTTCTTATCCCTGGTTCTCAGTGAAGCAACTTAAAACAAGTATTAAAATTTTTGTAGCAGAAACTAAGTAGTTTATATTTAAATGTAAGCAAATTGTCCCATCCTGTGGTTTAACAGCAGCATTTGTCCACATCATTCCCCTCCTCCTGCCTTGCTAATACAAGCTAGGTTTGTGGAGTTACTAGGCAGCCCAGTACTTACAGGCAAGACCCTACCCCCAATCCCAAGGAAAATGATTTATAATTTAAGCCAATCACAATGTTCTCACTCCCCTTCCAGAGTGTTTAAGAAAGGCAAGTGACCCCAATCCTGATCAACAGGACATGAGGCAGGGAAAATTCCTGGAGGGCTTTCTTGTCCTGCTAACAAGAAAAAACATCCCTTTTCTTCATGAGACATTTTTGAGTCTGCATTTGATGCAGCTGGAGTACAACCATGAGAGAAGATCCTGAGAATGACAGGACATAAAGATGAAAAGTGTCAGGGTCCTTGATAACATTACTTTGTCTTTAAATTAACCAACTCTGGACTTGTCTCTCTTCCCTCCCTCTGGACTTCTCTTTCTGTAAGATGATCATTTCTTATTGGTTAGGTCATTTTCACTGAGTTTTTCTGCTAATGGTAGCCTGAGGCATCCAGCCAATACAAGCTACAGGTTACCAGAGCCAGAAATCTGAAACAAAATTAAGAGTCTAGGTTGAAAAGAAGATAGTAAAATAAACAAGAAGTATAGTGAGAAACTCAGGTGTTTTAGGTCAAGCTGTCAGATGTAGTTCAAATACACAAGAAGGGAACAAAAGCAGGAATAGCTAGGGAGAAACAGAGATTAGGCACAGAGTCAGGGAGAAGCTAAAGCCAAAGAGGGTTACTAGGGCTTTGAGTTCTTTTATTTTCAGCTGATGGTGGTACAAATCATATCTGCCCACAGTCCTAGAATAGGAGTTCTCAATTCAGTCCCAGGACCAGCCACTTTAGCATCACATGGGAAATTGTTAAAAATGCAAACTATTAGGCCCCACCCCAGACCTACTGAATCAGAAACTATGTATGTTTCAACAAGCCCTCCAAGTGCTTCCTACACTCACTAAAGCTTGAGACCACTGTCTCCTACAAAGGTCCTAACAATGATATGCCCGAAGGAAAAGAGCACTCACCTTCTCTCAACAGTAACTATAACTGTGACCACTCAAAATTACTGAATTTCATAAACACAATGGCCAGGAAAAAAGACTGAGCTCTCTGCAACCTAAAACATCATTAAATCAAATTCTGGTCTGATTTCTTTTAGATGTCAAACACTAAGGAAGTTCACACTCTTAAATCTCTTAAGTCAGCCACAGACTTTCAAACTTGAAATAGATTTATACAAGACAGCTACATTTAAGACTGTAACAGAATCAGAAGTCAAAACTGCAAAAAAAAATGCATTTATCATTTATATTTCTAAAATCAAAAATTTACCATTTCTCTCTTGAATTACTTGAATGGCTTGCAGCTGCATTTCAATATTTTTTTGAACCATCATTGCTTTAAAGATAGTAAAATCTGCTGCTGCCAACACAGGTTGCAAAATAGCCTGTGAAAAGAAATCCGGAAGTTAAATGAAGACTCAAGTTTTAAAATTATTTCCCACACACCCAAATCATTTTTACTACAAAAAAATAAAATGCATTAATTCAAGAATACTTCATGACTTTTTTATGATTAGATGTCTCAAAGGACAATTTTAAGACTCTGAAAGCCTTTAAAGTAGGGTTCACAAGAGACTGACTCTCCCAATCCCCAGGCCTCCAGGAAGCTAAGGCTGACAGTGATGTATTTTTCCAAATAAGCTAGGGCTGAGTAACTCTGAGAAACAATACAGGAATTCGGGCTTATTTTTTTAAGTCACACATCAGTATTTGGATATGGCTTTCAGCAAAACAATATCTATTTGGCTTAAATTCTGTCACTTGAAATTCTACTGTTTAATGACAAGTCATTAACTACAAAATTATCCATTAATTCATAAAAGTACCAAATTAAATAAAAGCAAATGCCAAAAAAAGAAGTTTAGAAAGTGTTATTAGGTAATATTAGTAATGTGGGAATACAATTGTAGTTGTCCTATATGTATAGTTTCATGGAAGAATTAGAAATTATAATGTAAAATCATTTTGGGGGTGAAACAGAAGTATAATAAAAAAAAATAATAATAAAGTTGTCTTCCCTAGTGTACCCAAATAATACTACTTGATCTACAGAGAACTGCTATACACAGAACAAACCAGTTCTCAATCAGATCAACAAGTAGAATAAGATTTGAAATGTGTGAAAACCCAAAAGAAAATACTTAGATCTTATCAATTTTACCAAAATCTTACTTCAAGCTTTACATCATTTTAAAGGAAACTAATAGTGTTCACCAGGTAGGTAGCAGCAATAATCAATAAAAAGAGACACCTCAACAAAAGCTACGTCAAAGAGCCCTAAGCAAAGAGGAAGGAGCTCTCCCCAAAGCAATCAACTTACATCCTCTACAACCGCAGTAAACCAAAGCAAAGTGCAAAAGCAGCTCTCTGTAACATGTACAAGGAATCAACTCTAGGGAAAAAAATCAAAAGTTTCCTTTCCCTTAAATTCATATATACTGTTCAAAAGCCCAGAGCAAGGATGGCAAATAGGCTTCAACTGTGTTTGGCTGAAAGCTGCAGCTAATAGCTCAGTACTGAATACAATTTTGGGTAGTCTCTATGACAGATTAGGAATGTCTGCCAGGGCCCCTTTATGGGATTATGCCACCACATAACTTTCTTCTGGGACTTACTAGTAATATCAAGTGCTTTATCCTCATCTCTAACAAAACACCTGACAGGCACTGCTATTGATGGCAATGTGTCAACTACAGCTTCTACCAGGAAGTCAGAGTTTGAGTTGATATTTAAAGTCATAATGCATGGCTTCTCAAAGTGTGTCCCTTAACCCACCTAAGAAACGCAAAAAAGGGGATTGTTACATGCATATTCTTGAACCCTGGCCAAGATATAATGAATCTAAATTTCTGGAGGATGGGTATCCATGTATGTCTCCAGACAATTCTTACAACATTAAAGTCTGAGAACCATTGATACACTGAGGAAAAAAATGAGCCCCTAATAATATGCACCTACTTCCAGCTTAACCATGCACCAGGTGTGTGACTCTGGACTATCATTTAGTCCTCCGAGTTTCAGTTTCTTCATCTGCAAATTAGTATAATAATAATAGTAATAAAGTATTTCATTAAATCTAAGACTCCATAGATTAGTAAAATTAGCCATTATTTCATGTACCACTGAAAAAAAAATTTCCAATAAATAAGAACATACCATCAATTATAAAATGCATTCTCATTTTGGAGATGTTACAATATGAACAATTTGCATTTTAGAATGAAGGCAATATAGTGACAACTTTCTAATTGGGTGTTGGAATTAAGTAAGACGAGAGAGCACTTTGCCTAACAATTTTACAGCAGTTGGGTTCTTCTGGTCCAAAAAAATGGATTACTCCTCTCCTAAGTGCTTCCCATAAAAGCAATTAGAGGAACTAAATACCAAAGTTAGCAAGTAGTTTAAAAACAAGGACTATCGTAAGTATCCTTTAAATCAATTGAAATGTCAAACCACTTTAAAAAGAGAACTGTAAGTAAAGCAAATGTAGTATTATCTGAGTTAGAAATGAATTAACAAAAAAAATGAGCACTAAGTCTTTAAAAATCTAACTTAAATGAGTTCAAAATACATTCAAATATGTTCACTCTTGGCCTAAGGTCACCCTATTTTTCTCTGCTTAATCATACCATAGTTTTGAAAGGTACAAGTGATTTCATGCACTTACATTGCTCCATTAATAGACAGAACTGCAGGAAGAAATAGATGACTTCACAATTATAGTTGGAGATTTCAAAACCCTCTATGGACAGATCCCAGCAGGTAGAAAATCAGTAAGGACACAGTTGAACTGAACAGCACTTTTAGCCAACTGTATCAAACTGACATTTCTCCAGCAACAGAAAAATACACATTTTCCTCAAGTTCACATGGAATGTTCAACAAAATAGACAACATTTTGGGTCATAAAAAATATTTTAATAATTTAAAAGAATAGGAAGCATACAAAGTATGTTCTTATACCACAATGGAATTAAACTAGAAATCAGTAACAGAAAGATAGCTTGAAACACCTAAAGTACTTGGAAATTAAACAACATCCTTCTAAAGTATGGCCAAAGAAGTAGTCTTAGACTAAGAGAAATTTTAAAAATATTTTTAACTAAATGAAAATGAGAATACAACTTATCAAAGGAGGGAATTTATAGCATTAAATGCATATATTAGAAAAAAAGAAATACCTAACATCAATAATCTAGGCTTCCACTTCCACTTTAGGAACTACAAAAGAACAAATTAAATCCAAAGTAAGCATAAGAAAAGATAACAGAAATGAGAAGAAATCAATGAAATTGAAAATGGAAACTTAAGACAGAAAACAAAACTAAAAGTTGATTCTTTTTGTTTTGGTGAACATTCCATGTGAACCTGAGGATAATGTGTATTTTTCTGTTGCTGGAGAGATATCAGTTTGCTACAGAAGCTATTTTCCCACCACCCCTCCCTGCAAGATTCAGATTACCATTTACATGTATTTGAACATGCATATAAAAACTGCCCTCAGATAAGAATCCTTGGGGGAAAAAAAGAAATCTATCAATTCTCTACAATTTCTTCCAGAAAACAGAAATAGAGGGAGTACTCCCTAACTCATTTTTATGGCACCAACATTACCCTAATACCAAAACTAGTCAAAGACCTTACAAGAAAGGAAAACTATAGACTTGTATCTCTCATGAACAGAGATACAAATATCCTGAATAAAATAATAGCAAATTAAATCCAACAATGTATAAAAAGAATTATATACCATGACCAAGTAGAACTTATTCTAGCTATGCAAGACTGGTTCAACATCCAAAAATTAACTAATGTAATCCATCATAACAGGCTAAAGAAGAAAAATCATATGGTCATTATCAATAGATGCAAAAAAAGCATTTGACAAAATCCAATGCCCATTCAGGATTTAAAAAAAAAAACTCTTGCAAACTAGGAATAGCCTTAACCTGATAAAGAATATTTATAAAAATTCTACAGCTAACATCATACTTAATGGTGAGAAACCAGATGCTTTCCCCATTAAGAACCCCTCTCACTACTCCAATTCCATCTTATACTAGACATCCTAGCTAATATATTAAGAAAAGGAAATTAAAGGTATAATGATTGTGGAGGAAGAAAAAACTTTTTGTTCATAGGTGACACAACTGTCTGTAGAAAATCCAAAAGAATCGATAAGATAATCTGCTGGAACTAATAAGTAGCTACAGCAAGGTTGCAGGATACAAGATTACTGTACAAATGTTAATTGCTTTCCTATATATCAGTACTGAAAACTGGAACTTGAAATAAAAAACACAGTACCATTTTACATGAGTACCACAAAAAAAAGTACGTAGGAATAAATCTAACAAAATATGCACAGGATCAATAAGGGAAAAACTGAAGAGCTCTGCTGAAAGAAATCAAAGATCAAAATAAATGGAAATACATTCCATGTTCATAAACAACTCAACATTGTTAACATGACATTCTTCCTAATTTGATCTGTAGATTCACACAATCCCAATCAGAATCCTGGCAGGGTATTTTGTATATTTGAACAAACTGATTAGAAAATTTACTTGGAAAGGCAAAAGACCCAGATTAGCCACACAATATTGAAAAACAACAGTCAGAGGACAGATATTACCTGACTTCAGGTAGTTGCTATTAATTACAATAATCAAAAGAGTAAAGTATTGGTGAAAGACAAATAGATTAATGGAACAGAATAGACCCTGAAAAAAGACCAACACAAACAACTGATCTTTGACAAAGGAATAAAGGCAGCTTAATGGAGAAAGGATTATTTTTCCAGCAAATTGTGCTGGAACAACTGGACAACCATATGCAAAAAAAACTCTAAGCAATGACCTTATACCTTCACAAAAATTAACTCAAAATGAATCATAAACTTAAATGTAAGAAACAAAACTATAAAACTTCTAGAAAATAGTAGAGAGAAAACTGAGATAATCTTGGGTTTGGCAATGACTTACTAAAACACAACACCAAAAGCATAATCCATGAAAGAAAATTAGTAAATTACTCTTCATTAAAATAAAAGGCTTCTGCTCTGTAAAAGACACTGTTAGAAGAATGAAAAGACAAAACACAGAAGAACATATTGTGAAATATTTGCAAAGCATGTCTGATAAATGAGGCTTGTATCAAAAATATACAAAGAACTCTTACAACTCAACAGTTATAAAACAAACAAGCCAAGTTAAAAATGGGCAAAAGAAAACAATGAGATATCACCCCTATTTGAATAGCTAAAATCCAAAACACTGACAATACCAAGTATTGACAAAGATTGGGAGCAACAGGAATCCCCACTGATTGCAGATGAAGATGCAAAATGGTATGGTACAGCTATTTTAGAAGAGAGTTTGGCAAT